TGAATTTTTTTCAGGTGTTGAAAGTCGTGATGCATTATATTTACGTACATGTCTTGAAGATATGGTTAATCAATTACAACATGATGAAGAACAATTTCAAAATTTACCTGAACCAATTAAAGTTCTTTTAGTTGATACCGATTTATCAAAAATTTATGCACAATCACGTAAAGGTGAATTAGATTTTCGTGATTATCCAATAAAATTACGTCTAGCTGTATCACAAGGACGTCGTTTACAAGATCCATTATTAGAATTTTCACAATTATTTAATTATGATAAAGAAATTTTATTAATTAAATATCATCCATTACAAGATTTAATTGATCGTGATCAATTATTAATAACATTAGAACAATGTTTTATATCACGTACAAATGAAGTTGGTGTTGATTTAAATCGTTGTATAATATATCCTCATACATCAAATGTTTTACAATTTGTTTGTGGTCTTGGTCCACGTAAAGCAACACATTTAATTAAATATTTTAAACAAAATAATTTACAATTAGAAAATCGTACATTTCTTGTTGTTAATTATAATATGGGTAAATGTGTTTTTTCAAATTGTGCTGGTTTTATTAAAATAAATACAGATGCTATGAAACAAAGTGAATCATATATTGAAATATTAGATAGTACACGTATACATCCTGAAGCATATGATTGGGCACGTAAAATGGCTGTTGATGCATTAGATATAGAAGAATCATCGGAAATGGAACCAAGTGCTGCATTAGAAGAAATTTTTCAAAATTCTGAACGTTTAAAAGATTTAGATTTAGATGCATTTGCTGTTGAATTAAAAAATACAATGTATGGTGATCAATCAATAACATTATATGATATACGTGCTGAATTAACACATCGTTATAAAGATGTACGTGTACGTTATGAACCACCAAGTCAAGTTGATTTATTTCATTTTATAACAAAAGAAACACCAGCTACATTTCATTTGGGTAAATTAATACAATGTCAAGTATTTGATTTTGCAAGAAAAAAACCAACACCACAACAACTTGAAGCTGCACAACCAGAAAAAGATGAAATAACTGGAATGTTAAAATGTCCTTTATGTCATACAGAAAGATTTCATAATGTTAAAGAAGTAAGAAAAACAAAAATAAAAGAAACTTAGAATTAAATTCTTTGTTTTGTTATTAGGCATGGAATCATTTTGATTCAACTAATCGATGTAAAGGAACACCAAGTAAGTTATAAATAATAAGATTTGTTAAGACCTTTATCAGATATTCTAAAAATATCTTCAAAATGAAGTGTAAAAGATTTTATTTGTAAACTTTTTTCTAATATATTCTTTAACATAATCAACTATATAAATCTCTTTTTATCGGTAAATAAATGCAGAACTCCTGTACTGCTATCGATGGATTTATCCCAAATCTGCTCGAAACAGTTCTTGTTGAGTATGTGAGAGAAAGAGAAAAAAAAAGGCAAAAAAGTATTGTCTCAATACACCGGTTAAGATTACTCTACTGCGTTTTAACATCTACGACTGTTGAATTTTTTCTGTAACTAATAGAGTTCACAGTAGACATGAGCAATACTTTTTTCATTGAGAATGATACTTGTTATGGCCGTGTAAAACTTATGTTGAATATCATATTATTCCGATTCATTTGATTAATTGCTTATGAGTTACAAGACGGTCAGAAATTCGATTCGAAAAAAAAACAGTTAAAAATAATCGATTGTATTGATATCGAAACTTTGAATTTAAACTTTTTTAGAAAAATTTGTAAATATTAACTCATCGAATCATGCTAACGAGGAAACCTCTTCAGATGTCCAATTACTTTTCGTCTAAGACGATGTTTATTTAATGAGTAATAGAAAAGTCTAGAATGGTTTGGTTTTCTAGACTTTCGAGTTCTTGCGATATCGAAATTTTATTGGTTTTTTTTCAACAAAAAGCTGTAGTCGTCTTCAGATCACATTAAAAAAATGACTTTCGAAGAAGTTTCGAAAGATTAAACCATTCTAGACTTTTCTATTACTCATTAAATAAACATCGTCTCAATCAAAAAGCAATTTCATATCTGAAGAAGTTTCTTCGTAAGATCTTAACTTTGAACACAAAAAAAAAACAAATAAATTATTTTTTGTTCTTTTTTAGTTGGTGTACGTGTTCGTTTGGATAATGGTTGTACAGGTTTTATAAAACTTCGTGATCTATCTGATACACCAGTAACAAATCCATTAGATCGCGTTAAACTACATCAAGTTATTTATGCACGTATAATAAATATTAATATAAAACAATTTAGTGTTGATTTAACATCAAAATCAAGTGAATTACGTGATGATAAGGAACGATGGCGACCAGGAAAAGATTCATTTTATGATCAAACACTTGAAAGTGAAGATTTAGCTGAAGCTGAAAAAGAAAAACAATTAAAACAAGCAGCTAAAGAACGTAGTTATGTTAAACGTGTTATTGCACATCCATCATTTATGAATATAAATTATCTTGAATGTGAACGTATACTTTCAACAAAAGATTTAGGTGATGCTATTATACGACCAAGTTCAAAAGCATCAGATCATTTAACAATAACATGGAAATTAGTTGATGGTGTTTTACATAATATTGATGTTATTGAAAAATCTAAATCAAATCAATTTTCACTTGGTAAACGTTTATTAATTATTGATCCACGTACACAAGAAACAGAAGAATTTGAAGATCTTGATGAAATTCTTGCACGTTATATTAAACCAATGGCAAATACAGTTTCAGATATAATTACACATAAATATTATCGTAATTTATCTCAACCATTACCATCAGCTACACCAACAGGTTCAACAACACCAGCACAAACAGCAACAACAACAACAACAACAACAATATCAACAACAACATCAGGACCACCACCATTATCAAATGATGCACAAAGAATTCTTAATAATCTTTTAATTGATGATAAACGACGTAATCCAACACGAATACGTTATTATATAACAATATCACGTGAATATCCAACTAAATTTCTTTTATCATATATGCCTGTACGTAAACCAATACATGAATATTTTACTGTAACACCAAATGGTGTAAGATTTCGTTCGAAAATGTTTCCAACATTAACCGAAACACTTAATTGGTTTAAAATACATTATAATGATAATGCTGTTGCACCATCACCAATGCGTACATCAACAACAAATATTCGTGTACCACCACCACCATTACCACCACAACCATCATCATCATCAATAACAGCAACAACAACAAATCCAATGTCAATGAATTCAACACCAATGGCAGTAGCAACACCAATGGTTCCATCAGGTTTTAGTCAACCACCACCACCAATGCCAACATCTGGATTTAGTTTACCACCTCCAACAGTTGCAGTTGCAGCAGCAAGTGCTATTCCACAAGGTCCACCAACTGGTATGGTAACAAGTGGTTTTAGTCAACCACCACCAGCATTAGGTACAATACCACCAGTATTACCACCACCACCACCTCAAATGATGATGCCACCAGCGAATTTTTTTGCTTATTTTCAACAATATCAACAACAACAACAACAACAAATGTATTGATTATATCATTTTCGTTTTTTGTTTTTTTGTCACCTAAGTTTTGTACATATAGAAAAAAGACCAGTTGAAAGATTTATGTTGTCTATTGCTTTCTTTATTATTATTATTATTTAATACGTTCTTCAACATGATTTAAGAAAAAAAATCAAGAGTCATTTTTTTTTCTAATTGAAATAGCACACAGTTATTTTGTTTAAGTAAAAATTCAATCATATTAAAATAAAAGATCTTAAAATAAAATATATATGATTTTATTTTTTATATATATTTGAAAAACTTGTCAACATGAATAATATTAAAAAGAAAAAAAATAAAAGGAGACTTTCATTTGGATCCGATTGTAGGAATCTGACAGTGTCTAATCTAAACAGTCCTTAGTCGACTAGAATAATTACATGTGATTTTACAGATATTAATGAAATCTTATATATTTATATTGGATAATGCAGAAAAGTATATATAGATTTTGTATCCAAATATAATATGTGCATTTTTACATGTTGAAGTAAGAAATTCAGATAGCTTGAAATATGATTATCTCAAAAATAACCTTGGTATGTAAATCAGACCATGTCATACTCTTTCGAGATAGACATCTATTCATAGACAGATTCTATTATTACAACTACATAAATAAATAATATCTATATGTTTTACAATACAAGAAATGTAATCATTCCAATAATAAAAATTATATACACGATATCGAGTAAATCATTGTATATGATATAATGTTAAAATAATATTCCATAATAGGATTACTCATTATAACCTCTGCCTTTCAGCTACCTTGCGATGCGAAGTACAGTGGTAGATTCAATAGTTCAATATCTTTTCTACAACTATGACTTACTAACCACAAGAGCAAGTGTATATCACAACATAGTCAGCATGCTATCGAACGGGTGATACAAGACAAATAGCAGTTAATGACTGGTTCAGGATCATTTCATTGCCGGTGGTATTGAGGTTTGTACATAGTACCTTGTAGATATTGTATCGAGCAACCTAGTCTCATTCATCTATAGTTTATTTAGACAAAATAGAAGATAATAACATAAAATAAAAAGTAAAATTCATGTTTTTATCCTTTTAAGGTTAAATAATTTTCATCTATACTTAAAAGAAATCATGTAAAATTATAAATAACTACAACAATTCTATAATATTTTCCAGATTGTAATAGATTATTTGAAATATAAATTAATTTCTTTCAAGAATAATTAATATTTTTACTCAATTACTTCAATAAATCTTTCTTTTTTTCTTTTTATGCAATCAATAACAAAAAAATAAACAAGCAAGCAAGCGCAAGGTCATATCCGAGAAAAAAAAAAGGACACATTTTGATACATAAAAAGAATCAAAATATACATAATAAATAACGAAGGAAAAAAGAAAAAGATTTTTTTCATTCTAGTCTATTCTAAACAAAGTTTTAATTCTACATAATCTAAATATACTCCATATTTTGCATGTATTGAATCATGATTTGTCATAGATATAAAAACATTACATGGTTTATCTCCATTTATTTCTATAATTCCAATTGTTTGATAAAACCATAGATTAGTTTTTGTTATATCACAATAAAAACATCTATACATAGATAGAAAATCATCTTGTGTCCATCGCATATATGCTGCTTGACCAGGATTTACTTGTTCGGCAACAGCAAAAAATTCTGTTTCACCTAACATATAAGGTATATTAAGTTTCATACGCCAAATAACATCATATTTTCCGGGTAGAATATTTTCAAATAATGTTTCAATATGAAGTGAATAACAAATTTCAATTGAATCTTTTATATAAAGTACATAACCATTAAGACTAGATAAATCAGGAATTGTTGTATAATTTCGATTTGTATCAAAAGTAAAAAGATTAAAATCAGAAAATGATATACGTTTACGTTTAAGTAATTCAAAATAGATTAATTTTGAACGACATGATTGATTTTTTAAATTTGTAATTTGATTATCATTATTTAATAATAATGAATTTTTTATTGAACGATTCCATATTATATAACCAAATTGTCTACGTATAAGATATGACCAAAAATCATTACTAGTAAAAAGTGTATATAAACGTGAACATGTACAACTTAAACGATGAATATCATTAATAGTTAAATAATTACTAATATGAAACCAAATTGAATCTATTAAATCAATAGACCAATCGAATTGTTGTTGTTCTATAACCATATCTGAAATAACACTTGTATCGATTACTTGTGAAGTGTTTATATCCATACACTATAGTACCATCATTTTATTAAATCGATACAAGTTCGTAGATTATATTACTTTTTCTTGCTTAGAATTAATAATGATTATATATAATACGTCTGATGGTCTTGACGAGTAAATTATCGTTATATTCAAAAGAAAAATCCCTAGAATCGTAACAAGGTTTTGACCTTCATTTTATGAGAAGCATCATCAAAAAGTAATTATCGTTATCGTTATTCAGGTAAAAAAAAAATTGATGCTGATGATAGTTACACTTAACGATAGTAATGTTATTATTATTTACCTGTACTATATATGTATATATGTGTCGTCTTGATTACAAGACGATACGCAACGGCAGCAACTGCAAACTGATAAGCGCGACAATATTACATGTGTGTATCTAGAGTGTTACAATATCTCAGATGCAAAAAAAAAAAGCAAGAGGGAGAGAAAGCGGGGGAAAAAAGAAAAATATAGATAGTGTCAAATGTGAACAAGTGTTTTTTTTTATGTAATGTAATTTTAGATAAATGATCTTTTTAAAAATAAATAAACTACACTCAAATCTAATATCTCATTCATTGCAATGATTATTTCAAGTAAATGAAATAGACTAGTTTTCATTTCTATGTTTAAATCAAACAGAAAAAAAAAACTTGTCATATATTTATGCAGATGTAAGAAATCACACACATATAGATAAAATATAAACACACATATTAATCTCGTTCTTGATAGCTAAAAAAAAAATCCAACATCATTTTGTGTTAATGGTTGCCGTCTGGAGAAGCTTAATAACCGCAGCAATCGACAGCAGGACTGTGATAGAACGTACAATCCTGATTTGTAAATATCTGATGTTCGTGATAACAGACCACCAGACATATATGATAATTTATAGAATGAAACCTTTCTTTTTTTTTTTCTTATCATTGAAAGTTTGGCTTCTTGTCAATGCTACACATTCTATTTAATTCTTTTCTTGATAGAAGATTTGATGATATAGAATTAATCAATAGAATAAGATCTATCTCCGTATCGGTTCAATCACATGGACTGATTACTACTATCAAATATTATTGTTGATATCATGGAAGTAACTTTACCTGTTATCAAATAAGAAAAACATATATGCAGCACTTCATAGATAATTTTCAGTTGTTATCTAAGAAAATTCAAAACGAACTTTATGAATAGGGATGTGTAGTTTTAGTAAACTTTTCACTGATTTATCTGACATGTCCATACTCTGACCATACTGTATGGATATGTCAATACTTCAGCAAATACTGTTCTAGTGTAGTTAATGTGTCAGTATTTTCACTGAAACTGCGTATCCCTATTTATGGATAACATTAAAATGATGCACTGACAAGAAATTTTCAAAACTAGTTAGTGTAACAGACATCAGTTACATGAAATACTGGTTTTTGCAAGGAAGTTGGTATTTTAGCGTTCAAAATGACTGTAATTATGCTTTTTACTTATGGGACATCAGTTTCAGCATTTAAACTGACTAATTAGTTTTGAAAATCTGTTCTGTATACATCAATATATAGTATCATTCATAAAGTTCGTTTTTTATTTCTTATAAGTTCTTTAGATGACAACTGAAAATTATCTATGACACACTTCATATGTATTTTTCTTACTTAACAATAGGTAAAATTCCTTTAGTAAGGCCAAAAATATAACTTGATAGTGGTATGAAAAAAACCTTTAAATAAGTTTCTACCATTAACCAACAAGCCAGATAATTCAATTGAATCAAAGGAAAGAGATTTGAAATTTTTATTGCAGTGCTGTTTATGACCCACTCTGTATATTGCAAGTTTAATCATAATTATCATATGAGAGTATCTAAATTCTCTTTTATAACCATACAAAAAAAAAAAAATATCAAATAACTAAATTCAATATCAATGAATCTCTGATGAATATTTTATTTTACAGTATTATCTCTATAAGTTACTTATCAATTAGTTAGATTTCACAATTTGTATTGAAATGATTTTATTAACATGATAAACTTAATCTCAAATCGAAAGAAATGAAAAAAAAAAAATTTGCATAATCACTTTTATCAAATTCTACACAAAGAATAATCTTATGATGATAACAAAGCATGTCTTATATTATTTTAAGATTTAATAAAATATTCAAAATAAATATATTTATAATATTCAATTTTATTAAATCAAATATTTGTATTATTATATTAGAACTGATGATTATCACAAGATCCTTACCATTATTAACATACATAGTTCTAATTATCATAAAAGCCAAAGCAAAAAATTAACGCATAATAATTATTATTCAAAGTTAACAGACATTTTTTTTTTCATAGATAAAAAGAAAATAAATATCAGATTTTCTAGTACTTTACATTCATAAATTTATATGAAGTATGACAATGAAAATAGTCAATATATAATTTTTTTCTCTCTTTGCAAACCTAATCATTTAAATTATATAATTAATCAATAAGAAATATACAGTATTTTTGACTAATCAATAGAAATTAATAAATATAATTCTTGATGAGAATATAATTAATGACTTTATCTGTTCATCGTTAATATTGTTCAAAACAAGATACTTTTTTTTTAAAAACAATATCGTGAAAATAAATGAAACAATTCTGAAATGAAGTTTATATTTCTTTTTTTTTAAAAGGTTTACTGCTAAAATATGCGTAAATTTCTTTTTTAAAGAATATATTTTACTAATAAATAAATGTAATCTTTTATCGGATATAAATTTGAGACGATGAGTGCTTTTAAATGTTAAACATTTGATTTTTATTGTAATAATATCTATTCAAAGTTTCAGATGTCATTCAATGTTCTTAGAAATAACTGACCTTGCAGCGATACTACTTTCCAGACTTTTTAGAAATATCTTAATTTTTCTGTTTTCGATAGAAAATCCTGATATTTCATAATCTGTTGTAATAGGATTATGTCTATACGATTATGATGTGTTCTGCATTATATTTAATCTATTTTTAAGGTTTTAATTAAAATAGTTGTAGAATATTTTCTATCAAGTTCATATTAAATTTGTTTCAACTATTTATTATTTTGTTCTATAATTAATTTTAAGTAGTTTTCATCATTTTCAACTCATTGAAGTTTCAAAATAGCTTGTTTTATATTGACATATCAAGTTTTAAGTTCTATCTTAATATACAATTCGTAATTCATAATTTACAGCATGTTATCATTAATAAAGCCAATTACTATGAACTAAGCTGTAATCATGAAAAGAGCTTCTTGAAAAGATTTATGCATATATAATATTCAAAGAGGTATATGCAACGAGAAGAAAAAAGCGAGAGTTCAGCACTCCGAAGTAAGAGCGAAGTACAGTGAAGTATGATACTTCACTTGTAATTCACTCGTACTTTAAACTACTCAAGTTTCGCTATTTCCCCCTTGGGTATATGACAATGTTGAAAGTTGTACTCAACAGTTTACTAAAGTTGTCATTGAATTTTAGAAATAAAAAAAAACAATATTTGTTGAACAGAATAGATCAATTTCAACAGAATTGTATCATAATTTTAAAAAATTTGATTCATACCGATGCAAACATCGAGAGATATCGACGAAAAATAAAAAAGGTAAATAAATATAGCGTGAGTATCTGATAGAAGAGCAAATGTGATGAATTCATCATTTGTCTATTCACTTGTATGTAGAGTTTGTCTTGTACAAAGATAATAATAGGTTTTACAATCTCTTGATTTTTTTTTTCACAAGATTGTCCTGCTTGTTTTTTCTGATTTCAACACATAAGCCATTGCAATTCTTGATGTAACATATCATAACTCTATAAAAATAGGCTTTTATCATTGTAGACTTTTTTTAGTCACAAAAAAAAATGAGATGTCAATTCAGGATTCTCTCTTCAGTTTTCTTGTTATTAAATAATGCTTCGTCATGACACTCTGTATACCGATGAAATATATTATTCGACTAAATGTTAAGATTTTTTTTATTTAAAAATATTTTTTTATTCGTTTAACTAATAATAAAAATTATTCGTAGAATATTTTTCGTTAAAAAAAAATAACAATAATAATATCATTTTCTTAGATAACCTTTTATAGAAAATAAGCAAGATAAAGAAAATTAGCACTATATAAAGAAGCAACTATATACATTGGTTGTCTTCATATGATCAATAATATTTCCTTTTAGATAGCCATCAATCAATATATTAGCAGATATATATATATAAAACAAATTGGTTTAGCTCGAGTCAATAAGTATTAAACATGAAATAATTACAAAATTATTTACTTTGTGATGTATTCACTAAACAAAAACAAAAAAAAGAGAAATCTTTTTCTTTATAATCACTAAAATAATAAATTTTAAAGTTTTATCGACTATAGAATAAAAAAATTTTAATCTAATAAATTAGTCAAAAAAAAAAAGAAAAATTTCACCAATTTGTAAACTTTACAAAATATCCTTCTTTTGTTTTTCGTTTTTTTTTATTATGAACTATTTCTCATATCTCATTCAACTAATTCATCAATCCTTTCGATCATATCAAATGTCTGTGATCATATACTGTCTATGTTCATACAAATAATTGTTACCTTACTCTTTTATCATCACATATCTTAACTAAAGCGATCGATTGAATGAAAACGTGTGCATATCATTACTTTTCTTTACTTTGGTATCCTATGTCATGTATGAACAAATGAGAAAGAGAGAGCAAGAGAAACAGAAACTAATACAAAATAAAAGATATTGTTCAAAAAAAAAAAAAAAAATCTTTTTCACAAAAATACGTTTATGATGCAAGCATTGCCTGTCATCGATCTTCACTATCTACGATGAATGATCTAACACATATACATATATATATATATATGAATATAGCATGATAACTATATCTAGAATGATGCGTTTATCATGCTGAAGACAAATAGTAGAAAATAGGAATGG